AACCAATTAATTGGTTCCCAGCTTTTTTTTTTTAGCATTTAAACACAAAATGAACAGGATTAAACAAGAAGCATATACTGTACTAAACACATCTAAGCACATTTATCAAAACAGTAATTTGTAAAGTAAGAAAATAAATGTATCCAAACAATGTGTAAAGTTAAAATAAAATAATGTGTCCGGCCCCTATAGTCCGCTCCTTCTGTGTGCCATGCCCCCTACCCCGTGTGGAATCCCCGTGTGATCAGCTGTTTCTGGTTGTTGTCATTAGTCCTCTGTATTTCGTACGTGTTTCAGTTTGTTTCCCCAGTCCGGTCATTGTATTGTCCGTCTGCGTTTTGCAAATAATTAATAAGAAATTTTTATTTTAAAATGTATTTTATTATATAATAATAATTACTGTTACTGTCTATCATTGTCTAAATGTATTTTTACTGTCTAAATATATGTATTCACTAGTGTAAACATGCACGATGCTATCACAGCAAATGCGAGGCTGAGACTGAAGCTTTACCCTTTGTTTCCGCTGAGAGACGTGCTGCGTGACTAATTTCCCGGCGCATACAAGTTATCTTAGGTCAGTGCTCACATTACGACTTCTGAGATACAGATGGAGTTCTAGGTAATTTTTTTTCGAACTAGTTGGTTCGACTTTTAAGAAATTTGAGTTCGAGAACCGAGGTACCACTGTAGTTTGTTAGTTGTTGCGCACGGCTCGCCGTGAGTCTGACCAATCAGCGCTGGAACCAGTGTAGTTCGAACTAGGGTAGTCTCGCCGTGAGTCTGACCAATCAGCGCTGGAACCATAGTAGTTCGAACTACGGAAGTCCCAAGTAACTAACGTGGTTTGAACTACTATGGTACGACGGTTTTGGGAAACAGTTGTACTTCGGATGTTGGTTAGTTTGAACTAACATAGTACGATGCATTGTTAATTCTAACTTCTGTCGTTGTTTGGGAAACGCACCACTGGTCCGGAGCAGACTTGTTCACTCTCTTAAGTTACCATGGTAGCTCAGCGGGGATTCATTTAAGACACGTTAATGTAACGGAATTTCCACTTAAATGAGCCAGACTTGTCGAAATAAGTCAGACTTTCCCTTAATCCTGCTTCGTGGAATACCCCCCTGGTCTTTGTGAAAAATAAAAAACATAAAAAAAGATCCCTCTTGTTTCCCGTGTCCCCTTTCCCTATTCCCCGCTTGTCTCTTCTCCTCTTTCCCTTTCGTTTTCTGACGGTCTCCAACCCTAGACTGGGGATCATAACACCTCTAAAAATATGCTTTGATATGTAAAATATACTATTTCAGGGGTAGAATTACTTTGTTCGGGGGGCACAGCAATGTTTGCCTTTTATCCCCTCAAATATAGGAGGGCACTAAGGCATTTTCCCGTAGGTTCGGAGGGCACCAATGCAATCAAGAATTACTGGCCAGGGCACTGAGGCAAAAAGGTATATAGCCGGACGCATGAAATATTTAGCATTCTGACATTTTCAAGGGCAATTAATGCATTAGCACCCTGTGAAATAGTGTTAGACTAGCTATTGAAAAAAAGATGCTGTTGCCTTCATTCACCTACTCAGTAATGACGAAATGTTTTATGAAAAAAAACAGAGCCAGCTATTGTCAGTGATAAAAACTTTAATTTAATGAACATTATTTTTACTGAGACATTGACACTAACATGACTAACAGAACTTCAAAATAATACATGAGTGACCATATTCAAGCCAACTAACTAACACTCGCCAACTGTCCCGAGCCACTCAAACACTGTCGCGAGCCACTCGCTACTGTCCCACCCAGTGCCGCGAGCCACTACGAACTGTCCCGCAACACTTCCGCGAGTCACTACGAACTGTCCCGTGACAGCAGCTGCAGGACAGTACAGTTTATGCTCTAACTCCTTCTCCGTTTTCACTTCAATTCAATGCACATCTGGTATCAATTATTTCAATCTTCTATGAATTATTACAGTCTATTATAAATTATTACAACGTCAAGTAATGACAGATGCGGTATGATTGGGAAAGACATGCATAACCAGCGAAATTACCTAAAAAATTTGGTTATTTTCAGGGTCTTAGAAGCAGCGGCCGTCATTTCAGCCTGCTTTCTTTTTTTCACCCGATCTTTGGTAGGCATTTTAATTGGAACTTTGTGGCCTTATAAGAGGTCCTTAACGTGTATTTGTCGATGTAAATCGATGCTTGTTCACGTGCCAAAAATACCACCAATACAACCTCACTTTCAAAAGAACTTCTAAACCTTCTCACCCTCCCTATTCTATGAACATGTTGCTATTAGTTTCGGAGGGAGGTAAGCATCGGCTAGAATAGCCGCTCTGAATAATTTTACCATGGAGGCGTGGCGAACGTAAAATTATTGGATGCGCTTATCAACCCAGATATCATGGACATGGCGACAGAGAAGTAAGAAATGGAAGAACTTGTTCTTGATTTCATAAGTTTATTGACTTTATTATGATCTAAACATACACAATAGGGCACAAAGGCAACTGAGGAAGAGGGCACTGCAAGTTTCTGCCGGCAAGAACTTGTAAATATTCAGGGCAGCACGGCAAATTGCTAAGGCACGGCGGATTTTGCCGTCGATAAATTCGATCCCTGCTATTTTGCATGTTTTTTTTTGTGGAAAAACAACTACCACTTTTGACTTGAGTTCCTCTCCTTAGCAGCCAGCTAAATATGGTAGAAACTTCCTGATTTTATTGTCACATGACAAATATTGACAACACTCTCCTAGATACAGGGGGTGGATCGACTTACTCAAGGCTCATTTAACGCCCAGCTTTCCCCTGTGTGATTCTTGTTGTCATGCATGTCCTAACCGACGAAGACCTGGAGCTGGCTGAGAATTCGCTCAGAGAGTTATTTCCTGAGTCACTCAAGGTAGAACAGAATGCTGTAAACTGAGCTGAACTTCTGAAGCTACATATGGCAGTAATCAACCAGCCTTTCCTGTTTCCTTTAGAGCGTGAATTTAATTTGACACATTTATTGTTATCTGTAACAAGGAACTTTTCAGTTTAATTGGCGATGTGTATGCTATAGTCTGCTATAATGTGAAGTAAGCTGCATCTTGTGTTACTGTAGGTGTATGGCTACTTGTTCAACATCAACAGAAGAAAACCTCATAATATGGTGGTAATTTCAGATGCCTGGCCAGACTTTAATGTTATTATCTGCAAGCAAAAGCAGCAGGTACGAAGCTGAATTCCCTAATCATTCAAATGTGTTTTGATAAACAATGCTAGGTCAGGGACATTTTCTATGCAGACATGTGTGCATGTGTGTTTTACTTTCATTTGTAAATTAAAATGGTGGTGTGAAAGGTCAGGAATGTAATTACTTGGATTATAACTTAACAAATGGAAGAAGAATACAAAGTAACATCATGTGAATAGCATTAAAATGCCTTTTTGTCTGGGTAGCATTCTCAGGACCGAGAGGGGGATTTCAACATCTACAGCATCTACTCACGTGACAGAGAAAGTTTACAGAAACTGCTCAGTAGCAATGGTGTTATAGACTGGAGTACATTTACTTTACTGGGAGGTAAAAAAAAAAACTCAAGCAAGCAATTAAAAATGCCCTTCAATATTATAACAGATTTCCAAATTAGTTGACAGTAGACAAAATTTTAATTTATGACGTATGTACAAAACTTTAGCGTTTACCTGTATATTTGAATATATCTACAGTATATGCACTGTTCTTTTCAGGTGTTGACATCAACCACATAGATGTGGTGAAAGAACTCTGTGCTTACCACAATATTCCATCAAAAACAGAGGGAATAATGTTTGTGTTGATGTTGGAGGACCTCAGTCATCTCAAAGAGCCTGAAAGGTAAAAAAAAGCCAATGATACCAGCTTAAATATAATCTTTTAATAAGTATTGTTGTCATCGTGTGCAGTAACTGCACTGGTTACCTGTAGACATCCAAACAAATAACAAAACTGGTTAAAGTTTACATTTTTCTCACTAGTACCAAAGGATACCAGATCGGCCCGCTGAGCGTGGAGCACGCTGACCTGGTGAACAGCACTTGGAAGTACGGCGGGAACCAGAACAGCTACAACTCTGTGAGGAACTACATCTCAAACTACCCCAGCTGGGGCGTGATGGACGGTAGTGGCAGGCCGGTCTCTTGGGTCTTACTATATCACCACAGTGCCCTGGGACTCTTGTACACGCTGCCTGAGCACAGGTGTAAAGGCTATGCTAAGATGCTAATTTCTATAATGGCTAAGCAGCTCTATGAGATGGGGTACCCTGTGTACTGCTTTGTTGAGGAGGATAATGAAGTTTCCTATCGGTTATTCACATCTCTGGGCTTCCGGCACAAACCGGATTACCGTGCAGTGTGGTTCCAGCTTAATGAACGCGTGGACTGATTTGTCATGTGGACAGTTTTGTTGTGTTTTTCTTTTTGTTTGTTTATCGCCAAGTTGCTAAAAAGAGTAGCCTACAGTTACAGTGGATATAAAAAGTGTACACAGCCCTGTTTAAAAATGCCAGGTTTTTGTGATGTAAAAATATGAGACCACAATAAATCATTTCAAAACTTTTCTCACCTTTAATGTGACATATAACCTGTACAATTGAATTGAAAAACAAACAAATCTGTTAGGGGGGAAAATAAGTGTGCACACCCATAAACTAATACTTTGTTGAAGCACTTTTTGATTTAATTACAGCATTTATTCTTTTTTGGTACACACCTGTCATCAGTTAAAGTGACTCTGATTAATCCCAAATAAACTTCAGCTATCCTAGTAGGATTTTCTTGACATTTACTCAGCTGCATCCTACAGCAAAAGCCATGGTTTGCATAGAGCTTATTAATCATCAAAGTGATCTCATTGTTGAAAGGAATCAGTCTCCTAGGAGAAGGGTACAAAAATACCATAGCATTAGATATACCATGAAACACAGTGAAATCAGTCATCAAGAAGTGGAGAAAATATGGGACAACAGTGACGTTATGGAGAACTGGGTATCCCTCCAAAATTGATGAAAAGAAAAGATGAAAACTGGTTAGGGAGGCTGCCAAGAGGCCTGCAGCAATACTGAAGGAGCTGCAGGAATTTCTGGCAAGTACTGGTTGTGTACTACATGTGACAACAATCTCCATATGTATTCTCCATATGTCTGGACTACGGGGTAGGGTCGCAAGATGAAAGCCTTTTCTTACAAAGAAAAACATCCAGGCCCGGCAAAATTTAGCAAAGAAAACATGTGTTATAGTCTTATAGGTATGTTTAGTGCAAAAGCAACACACCCACAGTGAAGCATGGTGGTGGCAGCATCATGCTTTGGGGTTGTTTTTCTTCAGCTGGGGCTTTAGTCAAGGTGGAAGGAATTATGAACAGTTCCAAATACCAATCCATTTCGGCCCAAAACCTTCCGGTGTCTGCTACAAAGCTGAAGATGAAGAAAGATTTCACCTTTCAGCATGACAATGAACCCAAGCATACATCCAAATCAACAAAAGAATGGCTTCACCAGAAGAAAATTAAAGTTTGGGAATGGCCCAGCAAGAGCCCCGGGCTAAAATCTGTGGTGTGACCTGAAAAGGGCTGTACACAAGACTTTCCCTTGCAATCTGACAGATTTGTAGCACTTTTGCAAAGAAGAGTGAACAAATATTGGCAAGTTCACTTCGCCAACTTCTTTGATGAGAAAATCGATCAAATTTTTCAGACATTCTCTCCCATCCCATCTACTACTCTACACATTAAGGATTTCCCTTCCCATTCACTGGCTCAATTCTCCAATCTAGCAGCAGAAGAGATCCTGCAAGTCGTCTTGTCATGCAATCCTAACACCTGCCCACAGGATCCAATCACTTCCACATTGCTCCAGACAACCTCTCAAGACCTTCTCCAATTCATCACCACTATCATTAATAGCTCCATAACATCTGTCATGTACCAACGGCATTCAAAAAAGCCAAGGTTATTCCCATCCTGAAAAAACCACACTGAATCCCTCAGACATCAGTAACTACCGAGCGGTACCACTTCTCTGTTTTCTTTCAAAAATCCTTGAACAATCAGCCGTCTCTCTATCTCTCTCAGGACAACCTTCACGATCCTAACCAAACTGGCTTCAAAGCCACACATTACACAGACTGCCCTCTTGGCTGTCACTGAGAAGCTACATGCTGCCAGAACATCCAAACTGTCATCCGTCTGCATCCTCCTTGACCTTTCAGCAGCATTTGACATAGTCAACCACAAGACTCTTATTCATCCTTATGAGCCTTGAAATTCGTAGCTCAGCATGGCAATGGTTTGTTTCCTACCTAGAAGGCTGGTCATATCAAGTGACATAGAAGGGATCCACATTTACTCCATGCAGACTCACCACTGGTATCCCACAGGGCTCAGTTCTTGGTCCTCTTCTGTTCTCCCTCTATACAAGATCTCTTGGTGAGGTTGTATCCTCACATGGGTTCTCATATCACTGCTATGCAGATGACACCCAACTTATCCTTTCCTTTACTCCCTCAGACACTCAAGTCTCCACTCAAATTTCATCATGGATGACAGCTGATGAGCTGAAAAACCCAGCAAAACTGAACTGCTGTTCATCCCACCTGATCCATCCACACACCAGAATCTTGCGATCTCCCTGCTCAACTCTACGATTTGTCCTTCGCTCACCGCCCGTAACCTCGGAGTAACCAAGGACAATCACCTGTCCTTTTCCTCTCATTTTGCTAATCTTTCCTGTACCTGTCGATTTCTCCTCTTTAATATCAAAAGGGTTTATTCATTTCTTTCCACACAGGCCACTCAGGTACTTGTTCAATCCCTTATCATCTCCAGACTAGACTATTATAACGTACTCCTAGCAGGTCTGCCTCTGAGTGTCATTCATCCTCTGCAACTGATCCAGAATGCAGCTGCCCGACTCATTTTCAACCTTCCCATGTTCTCCCATACCACACTCACTAGCTTCCTATAGCTGCCCACATCAGATTCAAAACACATCAGTTTTGATGCTCGCCTACAAAGCCAAATATGGTCCAGCACCCCCCTACCTAAAGGAACATACCACACCCCAGACTGTAGCATGTTCTCTCTGATCTTCCATCACTATTTGACTGGTCCCACCATCTCTCAAGGTGTGCATCAAGACTCTTCTTTGTTTGGCACCCATGTGGTAGAATAAAACCTACTTCTTTCGGATTTACTTGGATTAGCACTTCCAGGATAATACTCATTATTTTAGAAAATATGTAAAAAATTGTATTACTTGCCAAAAGATTTTTTAGAGTGATAGTATTCTTAACCAGGTTCAATACTAAGTATTAATACTCAGTATCAAAATATATTTACTGATGAGACTTCTAAGCACTTCTGTAAGTTGCTCTGACTAATGTCATCTGCTAAATGCAGTTTATATATTAGTTTAAGGGTGTGGATGCTTATGCAACCAGCTTATTGTATGTTTATATACACTCACCTAAAGGATTATTAGGAACACCTGTTAAATTTCTCATTAATGCAATTATCTAATCAACCAATCACATGGCAGTTGCTTCAATGCATTTAGGGGTGTGGTCCTGGTCAAG